GTGTTGGCGCAGTAGGTGAGCGGCCCCGGCAGAAGGAACTTGCTAAGCTGGCAGGGTGGCTGCGCGCGCTCCTTCTCCAAGAGGGTCAATAGACCGTCCATCGACTGGACGCATGCAAAGTCGCCGCTGCCGCTGGCTGTTCCAACCAGCAAGTTGTACGACGGTCGTTCCAGAGCGTGCGAGAAGATGCACTCGAGCGCGTGGTACGATGGGCCGTCGTCGCTGCCTCCGCCGCTGCCGACGAGGCGATACACTGATAGCGCACGCGGATGGAGGACTGCGAGCGTGAGTTTTGTAGAGTCGGCGGTCAGCCTCCCCGCCGCCAGCTGCAGGACGGGCAGCTCGAGTGCAGCCTCGAGTAGCAGATCCTCGAGCGAGTACCCACGCTGCCGCGGCCTGTACACGCGAAGTTTGCCGCTCAGCGAGCCAGTGGCCAACTTGAGCAACGCCGGCTCCGGCTCGTTGTCGAAGTTGCCAACTGCTGCAGTGATGACCTCGTCGGCCTCGCCCACTGAGGCGGACCACCACTCCTTTGCGCGGAACAGCGACATAGGGCGCAATGAGCACAAGTAAGAACGCGCGCTCAAGGTCCTATGAGGTCGTGAGGTGCCGTGCTGGCGAGTGGCGGGACTGACGTTGAGGCGTTACAATCTGCGAGTTATTGGTGCAACCAGCCTAAACACAAACAAACAAACACGGGGAACCTCCCTCTCCGTCAGAGTTCGCTCCCACTGAGGCCTCCGCTTTTTATTTCGCAGAGGCCCCTTATAGCTTATTGTATAAGGGAGAGCGAGACTCATCATTTAGAGAATGTGGGAGGACCGAGCCCGGGACCGCGTGAGCGTTGCATTTCTGCCCTCGCTCACACGCGCGCTTAGAGTTATGCGGCGCTACGGTGGAACTCGTGTTTAATTGAACAAGGCTGACCCCTACCCCTCTCGGTGGGCTTGCAGGTAGGGGGTTCGGGTAATAAGGTGCATCGGGGTCGGCGTGCAACCAGCCTAGAGCGCGATCTTTCACACTGGTGAGCGCGCCGCGTATACACGGCCCGCGCGAGACCGCCGCGCGCCGCTCGCGGTGCCCACACCATCGGGACCGGTCCGGAGCACCCAGCGACCGGTGTCGAATCGCCAGATTCGACCGCGCTGGCCTCCTGGAGCAACGCGCTGTCGCTCGCAATGACGCGATACGCGCGCTTTTTTAGCTCCATTTTACACCGATCGTTCGCGCCCAGACCACTCCCATCCATCGAGGGCACATGAGTAGCCTACGATTGACCCATCTCCGGCCGTCTCTATGCACTCGCAGGTGCGTTTGGTCCTCGGCGCGCCCGCTCTCGCTGCCTCGAGCTGCAGAGATGCCTGCAAAGAAGACCGGGCGCGGAGCGAATCTGAGCCTACTCAACAAGGAGCACCCGAAGGACAAAAAGGGCGACGACGACATCGGCGACCTCGAATCCGTCGACAAGCCGGACGACTCGTCGAGCTCGGGCGAGTCCACCAGCGGCGAGGCGCTGCCGCTGGTGCAGTCAACCCTCCCCTTCTCTGGTGCGAGCAGCGCACGGAAGAAGGGGAAGAACAAGCGGCCTCGGGCCGCGGAGGGCCCTAGCCAACGGACGCTCGCCGATTTCATGCCCCGCCGGCCGCCTTCTCTCTCAGATGGCGCCACCTCTCAGCCTCCCGCCGACGCTCCCGCCGTTCCTATCTTCGCAGTTTCTCGCCATTTCTCGCAGCGACCTTCATTCATGCCACCTCGCGGTCGTCACACTCTCATCGTTCTCTCTCCTGTCGCTTCCTCCTCTGACTCATCGCTCTCCTCGGCCTCGTTCTGAGACGCCGCCGCCGCCGCCCGCCGATCCCTTGCTCTCGCGGCTTCCCTCGCCTTTCGGCGTAACTCCGCTCTCCTCGCGGCGTATTTTGGCCCCTCGAGTTTATCGAGCTCTCCTCGCGCAAGGACGACTCTTACGACACCCACTCCGATCATTTGCCGCCAAGTCATGTCGTTGCTCAGGTCCACTCTCGTTTCGAGCACTTGTACCTCCACAGATGGTGTTGGCGCTGGGGTCCCCTTCGTTCGTTCGGGTGCATGCATCGATCGTGACAGCCGACGACGGGGTG